AAAACCTAAACTTTGAAATCTTGAAAATAAAACCACCTGATTTTAATCGAGAGTTTTCTTAAATGACTCCCAGTCATTTAAGATGTAATTAACTATAGGGGCTTGCCTCTATAGGGAACCAAGAATCCAGATAAAATAAACCTTATCTAATCGTAGTCTAGGTGATTGAATCCCCTATTACAAGTGATATATTTATTCTTCGGGATAAGTGTATTACCTGTAGTATTGTATTCAATCATCTAAACTATTTAAATGTAAAACCCGTTTGGTCTCACCTATTTTAAAATTAAAATGTTACATTTAAAAAAATAAAAAAAAAGTTATATTTATATTTAAATTATTTTCAAAATTACAAAATCATCACTTTTTCAAATCACGAAAGAAAGAAAAAAACGGCCGACAATGAGGTATGTGGTTGTAAGAATGATTTTCCCCCAAAAATATTTGAACACATGATAAACAATATAATTGTACGGGTCACCTCAAGTAAGTATATATTCTTTCTTTCTGCAACTCTTTTTTTGTCGACGAGCATCCACACAAAAACTTGTATGGATAATACCATGTTTGAGAAGATAATGATTAAAAATGAAATTGAAGTATTCCTTGGCATTATCAATTTTAAAAATTTGGATTTTATTTTGGAATTAAATGAGAACCACGTAATGAAAGGATTTAAATATGGTGTATGTTTAAAATTTTTCTTCCATAAAGAATGTCAATGTTGTTCTAAAATGATTGCTCATAAATGATGCAATCATCGTGCCCCATTTATATTTTTTATTTGTGAAGATCCCCAAATATTACTGTGAATTACAAAAAAAAAGATGTGAAGGCTTGTATTGCAATTCGAAATATGTCTGGTAAATTTTGCAAGTTAACAAGTTTCACAATGATAAAAATTGAATTTTTAGTAATAAATAAATGTGGAAGCATCATTTCCATGCAAGTAGAATTTGGATGACCATGACAACAATGACTCAACAAGAATTGACTTTTAACTAACACAAAATTTGAACTAGACTTAGAAATATAACTTGATGTATGACATTGCCTACCAAATGAAATAATTTTTTTTAGCAAGTATAGACCATCGTGTATCTCAATACTATCAATCAAGTTATATTTTAGAAAAGGAAAAAAGTCATACACTCAGATCTGGATGAGATTTCCGAGGAAGAAGATTGTAACATCAAGTCGTATTTGTCATAATAATATTGTGAAGCTCGAATCGAGTAAACCTGCTGCTCCAACAAAAGCAAAAGAACCCTTAGTTGGATTGCTCGGCTGGATGGGCAAACAGAAACTAAAGGGAGGCGCAAAACTCTCAATTTCCACACATTTGACACTTGGTGAGAGGTGATCGGGCCTTTTTCAAAACTCTCAATGTAGACCAAGCTGAATCGATGAGAGAAGCCAAATCAGACAACAATGGCAAACCAAAGAGAAATTAGTCCTGTGATATGCTCGATTCCGAATCAATTGAAAGGAGCATTATGTTTGAGAGAAAGAAACAAATCAAAAGAATGGAGCGTTCTGTTCGAGTGGAGAGCCGCACGTCAAGCCTTATGGTCTATTTCGTGAGGAGACCAAGCAATCATATCAAACATCAGCATAAGAAATTTTGCGTACGAGAGGAGACGACTCATGCAAACATGAGCGTCAAATGACACATCGGAAATTTCTCTAGATCCTTCATCATCGATGATGGAGCTTCATGGATGGAGCAATTGCTGAAGTGAAGGAAGAAACGAGTTGAACGCAAGAACAAGAAAGATTGAACAGAAGAGATACAAGTGAGATGTTTGAAACCATCACTGAAGACATCACTAGAGATGCCACTAGATTGCCCTCGAATTATCGACTCCTGAGGAGAAGCAATCAAGATGTAGAAAATACCTTGATGATTTTAGAGGACTTTGAACGTTGACAAAACTTTTCTTGTCTCTGATACCATATAAAATTATGGAAAGAATTGTATTTTTCTCTAGCTTCAATGCATTACACCTTACTATCATCATCATCATCATCATCATCATCATCATCATCATGAAAGGAACAAAAATAAAAAATCCCTCCAAAATAAGAAAAAAATAGAAAACAACAATATCCAATAATGGAAATACAATATGTGATGCATATTCGGAAGATTCCTTCTTAATGTGGATTGGCACTTCCAAATAAAAGTGGATGACTCCAATTGCAGAATATGATTGTCGAGATTTGTAGTGTAGAGATGTTCCAAGACTTTAAACTAATAATGCATGTATAAGCAGTTTGATTGATAAAATATATGGTTAAAACAAGATTTTTTAAAAGAACTTGTGTGTTCTTCAAGCATCTTTGTACTTTCACATACTTGAATGCTAAACAATCATAAAATAGGATAAACTTGATCTACATGTAACTATTATGTTGGTAGACCGCAATCAATGATATAATGTTGAATTTAATGATTATATAAAGTGGTAGATGCAAAAATTAAACTTAAAGATAAATAATTACTCTCCTCACACACACACTTCCACTCACTCCATTTATAATACTAACCTTCAATACAACTAAAAATACATTTTTTATTCCATTTTATTTTTGCTTACTTTTCAATTATGAAACCATTCATCTTAATCTACACCATAAGCAGTAATAGGATGCCAATTTTATGAAATTTGAATAAGATTTGTCCATGCATCAAACATATAAATATACCAGCTTAATGGGTGTTCTAGATTGCAAGACAATGATCTTTAATTTTATTAGTATCAAAATCTAATACTTTTTTATCATGTAAAACATGATTTTTACAATAATTTCAAATGATTTGGTTTCAATATATATATATATGAGCTAGTTTCGCTCGCTCGTTTTGATCCTTTACGGCTTCGTCTTCGGCTCTCGTTGGCAGAGAATTTCGCGTCGTCGATCGTTTGTGACGTCTGCTGCGTCGTCAAGGCGTCATCTGCTGCGTTGTTGCGTCGTCGTCGCGTCGTCGAGCCCTCGCGGTGCAGTTTCTTAGGGGTCGATCGACTGCTCCGCCACAGTTTCTCTACTCGACTGCTTCCGCACGGGTTGCGCCAATTTGTTGCAGTGCTTGTGTGAAGCACCCTAATGGTCTCAGGGTTTTCCTACGTTGCCGCCGTCGCCGGTGACAATCCCGCCAAACCCTCCTATGCTACAGTGGTCCACAAACGTAGCTCCTCTTTCCATCTCGCAGATAGTTCAGTATTCCCGTAGATATACCACGATTTTGTTGCTGGAAATGAAGATTGCAATCTCATAAAAAAAATAGAGAAAAAGGCGGGCAAACCAGCAGTATTCTTCTCTGACGTTGAAATTTCAACTCGTGCAGGAAAATACAAATTCACACTAGTTGAAAAGTTTCTAATTAGGTTGCCCTAAGATGGATATCATCAGGAAGGTTTTTGAAGATTTCAAACTGGCTGGGGATTGAGATGTTGGTCATTTTGACGGAAGACATGTTATGATACAAATGAACATAGAAGAAGATTACACGAGGATTTTCTCAAATAAATTCATCACAATCGAGGGCAAACATATGAAATTTCCCAAATGGACTTCTAATTTTGATCTTAGCCAAGAACCCCCAACTGCACTTATCTGGTTCTCGTTACCTGAACTCAAGCTTCAATTCTTTGACTTACCTATCTTATATGCAATTGGTACTATCATTGCAAAACCTTTGCAGGTAGACTTACCTACAGTTCATTTCTCAAGGCCCTCTATTGCAAGGATTTTGATTGAAAGAGATATTACACTACCAGATGCAGAAGAAGTCTGACTTGGATCTGCTCACAATGGTTATTGGCAAAAAAATATTACGGAACAAAAACCTTACTACTGCAAGCACTGCAAGATGTTTGGACACCCGCAGGAGAAATGTTTCAAATTGCACCCACAGTTGAGAACTAATAGTCAAGAGCAAGAACACACTATTAGTGCATTCCATGTGCCTGAACGCACTCCTAGAAAATCTGATGACAGCCAGCCTGAGAAGGGAATCACCACAAGACAGGAGTTGGTGTCTACCCCTGGGATTCATTCTCCTGACCATACTACAATGGATAATGTTCGAACCGAAAATCAAGATAGTCCCGCAGCTCCTATTCAAGAAGCATCAGGTGCAGAGGTAACACTGGAAACTATCGCAATGGCAACGACTATCTTTCCTTCTACTGTGGTTCTAACATCAAATCAGACCGAGGATCACATGAGCCAGTCTTCAGATGAAGAATGACAGATTTACACTTCTCGGCGGAAGAAGAAGGCTAGGGGCACACTCTAACTTGAAAACTTAATGGATGATACTTTAGTTACTCCTGATAATGACACGACTCTTCAAAGTTTGTTATCCGCCTCCGCTCCTAAAACTAGAGGAAGAGGCAAGACTAAACTGGCTCGTCTAGCTACTTGTTTTTTGCATGCTTTAAAATTGTTTTACTTTTTATTGAGTCAATCTGTATCTTTTTGTTGGGATATTACTGTATTTGTATCGTATGGGCATGGTGTCTTTTTGGGCTCTCTCATGCAACATTTATGTATCCTTTCTATTTCAATAAAATTAGCCATTGGGCTTTTCATAATATATATATATATATATATCATCTTTTTTATCAAAATGTGGTGAGGTATATATGTATGTGTAAACATTTAATCATACATGCACCCACACATTTTTTTACATGATGTATAAACATAAAAAAGCTGAATACGGTCATGCTAGGTGACTTGACAAGTAAGCGAGCTTGTAAAATAAACAAATTTCAAGCTAATCATGGGACGGAAAGCCATATTGACATCCCTACATATGTAGGGCAACAAAAACAATTTGTGCATACAAGGAAATGTGAGAAAATTGTGAGAAAGATGGAGAGGATTAGGAAGGAAATAGGAGCAGCAAAAGAGTGAAAGGAACAAGGATTTGAGAGAGAGATAGAGGGAGTGTAATGGATACTTCAAGAGTCACCAGAGGGAGTAGAAACCTGATGTCTGCGGCTGGGATTTTCAGGACATTCACCGGAGGATGAACCTACACTGACTCCACCTAGAGAAGAGCATCTTCCAAAGCTTTGCCTATTTGAACTTGAGCACGAGTGAGATTCCTCATCCTCCCCATTTTGTTTACCCTAAATAGTTAAAAGTGACAGTTAGAGAGAATGCACAACGATAAGAAGCAACAAATGAAACAAAGATTTATTTTCGTTGATCCGCTTGCCTGCAAATGGGTTTCATATGCATTATTTCCATCTATCTCAGCAACAGTGCTGCTTTGCTCAAGGAGAAAATCCTGCATTTTAGAAGTTGAAGACCTCTTGCTAAATAACGGCTTAATGGAAAAAGAACAAAATGAAATGAATAACATACCACATCATCATCAATCATAGAAATCTGGGACACACTTTCTGAAAGCAGTTCGACAACAGATTTGGAATGTGGGCCTACATGGTGTGGTTCAGCATGTTAAAAAAGACAACTTTATAGCAGGGACAAAATGGCATTTCGCTCTCCTAGTTCATAAAAAAAAAAAAGCCAGTACCTTTTGGACGAGCAGGTGCTGCAGATGAAGAGCTTGCTGATTCGTTACAAGAAGCCCGAAACCCTGTAAGGATCTCATATAATACACTCTGCAGAAAAGGTATATATATATAAGTGTATTCAACATAGAAATAATCTTCCATGTTACTACGTTCAAAATGCAATATCAAAATTATTGAAGTTGGACTACACCCTAAAAATAATTTTGGGATCTAATTTGATTTTTTTTTTTTGAAGATCTGTTTGTTGATCAGAACTGATAAAGAAATGGATGGCCTATAATGCAACTCATTAATGGTACTTCTACAAAACAAATCTGAAATCAAATATGTTGAAACAAATCTAGATCTTTATTTATATACGCTAAAAAAATGTTAGCTCCTTTAAGTACTCCGCCAAAGTTGAATTAATGAATCATTCATGAATTATCTAAAATATTCATTCGAGTATATCATACACATTTAAAGCATGATAAATAATAAAAAAAAATTTATATAAGGACATAATACCAACTTTAAAATTATTAATCGTACTTCTACATAACAATGTTGAAATCAAATCCATTTAAAATATGCTAGATATTTATTCATATACGCTAAAAAGATTTTAGTTCATTCAAGTACACCAAAGTTGAATTAATGAATCATTCATGAATTATCAAGAATATTAATTCAAGTATATTATTCACATTTAAAGCGTGATAAAATAATCAAAAAAATTTATAGGACAATACTAACTAGCGCTGCAATTGAGCCAAGCCCGCTGGTGAGCCAACTAATTCTCATCTTGATAAATGACTCATGAACAATGGTTTAAAAAAGCGTCGAGGCGTCTGCCTTGAGGCGTGCCTCAATTTGAGGCATTGCTTCAAAGACTCGGAGCGTGAACCTCGCAGGTGCGGGTAAGGTTTATGCCTCAATACAGTGAGGCGCACGCCTCCAGCTTGTAGCACCTCGAGGCGGTTGAGACATGGCTCAAATTAAAATTAGGTATTAAATACCTCTAACCTTCATGTAGCAACCATATCAAGAATTTAAGGTTGGACGTCGTTCTGAGAGTTTTCTATCTTCTTCCGCTTCCTTCGACAATTATTGTGACTCGTGAGTGTGAGCATTGAAGTCCATCGTCCCGAGCCTTCAAGCGTAGAAGTTCAGCCTTTTGCATCGAAGTCCAACGGTGAAGTTCAACATCAAACTACAGCGAATAGTAAAGTCCAGCAAAGTGGCGAAGCCCGATGACTTCCTCTTCTCTTCTGCAGTTTGCCCTTCCATCAATTTTCTCGAGTCAGTGTAAGCCATGTTTTTTCTTTAATGTGTCTATGAGCGTTTGATTTTAATATTTTTGAGGCATTTACATACATAACAATCGAGAGATTGCTATTTAGTATTTAGTAAAGGGCATTTCCATACATAGCAATTGAGACATTGCTATTTGGAAAACAAACACCCTATTTCATCAATTTTTCAAATTCTAACTCGAATATCAAAGTTTGTGTGCGGGATTGTGATTTTGTCAAGTTTGAACTTTGATGCCAGTTGTTTTTTTTTTATGACATGAATCAATTTTTTCTCAGACTTTTTGGTAATTTCAGATTTTGACAATTTTAAATTATCATTTGAATTTTGGAATCAATAAAGTGTAAGTTTTGAAGGCAATGTTAAACTTTTAAATTTTATCAAATTCTTAATGATCAATGAGTTTTATCCTTTTATTTCCTAATCAGATTGATTTTTCAATTTGCATTAAAAATGACTTTAGCCTGTTTAATCATTAATGTGAAAGTTAGAAGGCAATGTTATCTTTACATTTTTTCAATTTAAATAACCGTGTTGCATTAATTCATATAGCATAAGAAGAAAAGATCCAGCTTGGAAATATGAGACTCAAGTTGAAGTGTCAAGAGAGGTGAAAAGAAGGGATATATTTACTTGAAATGTAAATTTTGTGACAAGCAAATTACTTGTGGTGTTTAAGACTTGAAAAATCACTTGGCTTGCACACATGTAAGTGTTGGAGCATGTGAGAAAGCACTAGATGAAGGCCAAAAAGAATTTGAATAAAAAAAAAAATAGGTCACTTAAAAAAAACAACACAAAGAAGTAAGGAATAGATGATTGAGAATAATTCATATTTTGTCTCACAATATGATGGTTCAAGCAGTAGAAAACATGTCTTCTTCTAATAGACGAACTCAAGGACTAAAGGATAGATTTCTTGTGAATGTAGATGAATATGAGAAAATCAACTCTCAAACAATTCCTCCTCTAGCTTCTACAAAAGAGCATAGAAATAAAATATGCTTAGATATGGCAAGATGTTTTCATGAGAATGAAATCCCATTTAATATGATAAGGAGTTCTTCATTTGTTCTCTTGGAAATTATGGCCAAGGGTTACATCTTCTTAGTATGTATGAGGTGCGAACTTGGATGTTGGATGAGAGGTTTAAAACTACAACAATGATGATAGATGAAGCCAAAAAGACATGGGTTGAGATAACTGCTACTATAATATCAGATGGTTGATATGATATCAGCCAAAGAAGTACTATAATTTTTTTATTAACAACCATTATAGAACAGTATTTTTGAAATTTGTGATCCAACCCTTCAAAAATAGTAACTGACACGACACAAACACTCAACGAGATGGATCCCGAGTTGATGGTTGTGGGCGGTGAATGGTTGGAAGGTGGTGTGGTGTGGAAATAATAGTTGGCAAACAAAAAGTAGAAAGACAACAGTTTCCCCCAGACCGACCAACAAATAGACAACTGAGGGACTATGCGTGAGGGTTATCAGGTTGATGGAAACGAGGGGGAAAGGACGTTGGAAGTGAAGGGGAGGATTTGCGGAACTAGCCGTAAGCTAGAATGAGAGAAACAACTGGCAAAAAGCTAGAACAACAAAAGATGGCAAGAATGGATTGTTTTCAGGTAGTGGCAACAAGCGAGAATGAAGGTGGCAGAAGCGAGAAGGCGTGGGACTGCAAGAAAGTAAAATGAGGACTGTCTGGGGGGTGCGACAGCAAGGCGGATGGCTGGACGGCAATGAAGTGCAAGAAGAATAGCAAAAAAACTCTTGTCAGGGAGGTTACAGGGAGGAGGAAGGTGTGGTAACTAAGAAAAATGGATACATAAAAAGATAGGAAAGATAATCACCAGCTTGAGATCAAAATACAGCCGAAGCACCACCTAGAACTCTAGAATAAAGCTCTCGAAGGGAAAAAGAGACACCGACGAGTGCCTTGATACAAAACAAATGAAAACTCCAAACCTAATACATGCAAAACAAATATATAGTAATAGGATAATTAGGAGTGGGCCCGTCCACTTGAAAGAGATGATGCTGTCCCTTGCAAGGGCCGGTTGACTCTCCAAGTGCCTAAACTAAACCGGCGGTCTCATACTCCTGCTTCGCTCCTGATATGCAAAACCGCGACTCCCATGTCAGCCTTTGGATGCCCGCAACAGTCTCCAGGGATTGAGGGAACTTCGACCTCATCCGTCAAAGCTTCTATCTTCTTATAGTAGTTAGGCAACTCTATTGAATAAAGTGGAAATGTTGCAAGTTCTCGGTGAGTCAATCATGTAGTAATTATCATTCTAAAGCACAATCCTTATATAATAAATATTCATCCACATTTGGCACAACTTGAGCTACACATGACGACGTAAATTCTCACGAGCCAAATCCTAAGCAAGTAGATCTCTAATCTACTTCTCCCACTCCTACTCTATTGGATGTGTTTGATAAACAAGTCTCTTAGAAGGAATCAACTCAGAGACAAAATCTATGGCAGGTTTGGTCATACCGAAGGGTAACCACTCAAGAGAGGCTTCTTCTTTTATGAAAGGTCCAAGATCCCACTGTAGGATGTTCCTTTCTGCAAAACTCCTAAGGCGATTTCCAACACTGTAGTTTATCCCAATGACATCCCATAAGCTTCCAGAAGTGGCATAAAAGAGTTTTATTTTGGAAATACTAAACCCCCCTACGTAGAGGTCACTCTGAAAGTAGCCTATACATATGAAAAAAATCAGAGTAGAGGTAACTCTGAAAGTAGCCTATACATATGAAAAAAATCAGATTTTCTCTTCTTTGGGGTTACCCTAAGTCTAATATCGGCTCCTCAAACTTATGACCCATTTGGACATCCAAGAACAGTCTTGTTGGTTCTCCTCTCAACACCTGCAAACAATAGCTCAAGGCATCACAATTTCGTTACCTCAGCCTCACTACCTACCATAAAAGTTATTATTGACTTAGCTGGAGCCTCATTTCAAAGTTCAACTGGAATCACTAGTATCTCTTTCACATCAGCTGGAGGTTGAGAATCTTTTTTGAAATCTTCATCTTCTCCTAGAACACTATTTATCTCAACTGCTCCCTGATCTGTGTCATTCTCTTGGTTGTGCAATCTGATTTGGTATGCCCAAATCCATGTCACTTGAAACATTTTCTAGCTGGGACGGATTTGGAAATGCGAATTGCTTCCACCTATTCTCCACTAAGAATCAATTTCTCATCGGGCGGGGTCAACCTGAATGTTTCCCTGGGTGTACTCTCGCTGTAAGATCCTGAGATTGAATCTTACCTATAAGATGTGACAGTCATTTAATGATGTGGTATCTCTACTTTTGAAGTTGGGGTTTAAACATCTAGTTTTCCAGGTAGATACTGTCGTTGCAACTCAAGTTTCATCTCGAACTAGGTAGTGATATTGTCTTTCCCTCACAGTGACCTGGGAACTTCAAATGATGTCATTAAAATAATGCACTCTTTTTTAACTTGCTTCACGGTCTGAAGCCGCTCAATGAAATCCTTTAGATCCAAATGGTCATCAAATTGTGGCAAATCCATTGTTAACTTAAAATTCTGGCTTTTCATATATTTCCAGTAAATTCTTCAAGGTAGAGGCTCTTCATATCTGAAATCACTAACATACACTTCACATTTGTATCCTCTAACAGACATTTCACCTCTATATCTTCTGACAGACACTTCACCCATATATTCTCTAACAGACACCTTATCTGTGTCTCCCCTGAAATGCACTTCATTTCTATAATCGAATGGAGTTTAGGTGATCCCTTCCTTTCCATAATTTTATGGAGTCGTTGTAGCACTCGATAGAGTTTTTGTTATATCTCTTCCATGGTAAAGTCTTGATTCACGTCAGGCACTTGTCTTGACGATGGCGTGGTTAGGTTTTGAGTATGAGAAAGAGGGTGTATAGGGATGAGGTAGGGTGTAAAGATGGTTTGAGTGGAGAGCAAACATTTTTCGCACGAGGGGGGGGGGGGGGGGGGGAGGAAGAGGGGGGGCGTTGAGATAAGTTTGGGTATGTCGGATGTTATAAAATAGAAATAGGGTTAACCTAATCTGATACCAAATGATATCGAAGTTAGTCTGAGTCATAGTAAGAAAAGCAGATATTATTACTGAAAATCAACTAGAATGGGAAATAACAACAATCATGATACCAGAAATCGAAAGTAGCAACTGACACAACACAACACTTCAAGAGGTGGATCTCGGGGTTGTAGTGGTGGTAAAAGAGTAGAAGGTGACGTAAGAGTGGAAAAGATAATTGACAAGGAAAAATCAGCAAGATAACAATTTCCCTTGGGCTGGACAGAACGTAGACAGTCGAAGGACAATGTGTGAAGGCTATCTTGGTTGATGGTAGCAAGTGGGAAGGATGCCAACAATGAATGGGAGGTTTTGCAACAATAGAAGCATACTTAAATAAGAAAAAACAACTGATCAGACAGTTGAAACAACAAAAGACAGCCATGATCGGTTGTTTCCGGGCGGCGGCAGAAACAACGAAGGTGTGGAACTGTGAGATAGCAAAAGACAATTTGTCCTAGGGGTGCGACAGTAAGGCGGAAGGCTGGACGATGAGAAACTGCAAAAAGAACAGCAAAAAAACTAGTGTTGGGGCGGCTGCAGCGAGGAGGAAGGTGTGCTAGCGAAGCGAGAGGTATGCGGAAAGGGATAGAGAGACCATGATACAATTGAAGTAGCACCTAGAATCCTAGGACACTGCCCTCAAAGGGAAGATGAAATAACGACGGTTATCCTGTTACAAAACACATGAAAACCCCAAAATATGAAAAAAATATATATAACAATAGGATAATTAGAAGTAGGTCCCTCTACGTGAAACAGACGGTATTTTCCTTTGGAAGAGCCGACTGGCTCTCCCCACGCCTAAACCGAACCGACAGTCTTTGACTGTTGCTTTGCTCCAATTACGCGGGACCACAACTCCCACATCTGCCTTTGGACGTTCGTGTTAATATGTTTATCATTTATATATAAAATTATATCTTAATAAGTTAATATATAACGTTACTTTTATTTAAATCTTACGCTAGAATGTTGACGGGCACAATTCGAAGATGATGTGACTGAAATCAAAGCATTTGCTGAGAAAATTCTGAGTCTTACTAGTTCAACTTTCGCATGTGAGTGTAATTGGAGCATATTCAACCAAATGCATACAAAAAGAAGAAATAGATTGGCTACAACCCGAATGAACAACTTAGTTTATGTTATGCTCAACAAAAAATTGAAAGATAAATACTTAAAGCTACAACAACAAAAAAAATGGTGGTGATGAAATAAATCCTTTGACGGTTGATGATATTATGTTTGATGATGAATGAATAATGCCAAAGAATGCTAAAGGATTTCAAGTTGAAGATAAAAAATGACTTTAATGATGATGTTAATGAAGAGAAATTGACAACTTCTACTTCATAGACATTTAAAGGAAAGAAGAAAAATGGGCTTAGAGGTTCAAAAAAATGTAACGGTAATTCCATAATTAAAGTATAAGTGTTACTAATTATATTACATTCAATGCTAGTCGATGTAGGGAGTAAAATGAAAGATGTGGTAATTGAGAAAGAATTTGAAGATGATGATGATAACAGAATTTGAGGATAATAAAGTTATTACATATAGTGATTCTTCCAAAAATAATGAAAATAATGATGATCGTTATGGATCTTGATTCTCGTGACATTTAAATTCAAAGTTTAATGTTCAAATTTTATTTTAAACTTTTGAGTTTTTGCTTTATATTTGAGATTTGAGAATATTATATGTATGTTTTATAAAGTAAACTAGTAAAATCTATTGACATATTTAAATTCTAAGTTTAAGGATCAAGATTTATGGTTTGTCAAATGTCATATTTATGCATGTTTAAATTTATTGAGTTTTTTTTTTCTTTTTTTTGGGGGGGGGCCTTATGCCTCTATCCTCATGGAGGCTTATGCCTCACCTCAACAAGAAAAAACGCTTGATTCCTTCGCCTTTTAAACCTTGTCATGAACCAAATTTGACCTAATAGGTCAAGCTTGAAGTAACCCCAACTCAATTCATCAATAAGTAAGCTCGCTTAAAAAAAATATTAACATAAAGTACAATTAAAATATCTTAGTAATCAAGGTTTTAATAAAATTGTTAAAAATATTTAAACATTGTCTCATCCTAATCTCAACAAATTTCTTATTATTTCTCCAAAAAAAATCTCATTGTTCTATTCATTTTAGTACAATTTCCGGTCAAATTATAATAAATTCTTTTTATAATAAATGAACTAAGTTGAACACATAGAAATTAGCTCACGCTCAAGCTGAAACTATGGCTCAAGTTCGACTCGACTCATTTACACTATATGCAAATATTGTTTTATTCATGGAAAAAAAAGGTGAAATTCTTTGATTTGTCAATTAGCTATTCATGATTTCAAAAAAGCTAAAAAAAGATGCATGAAAAAAATTTCTATTTATAAAGTACTGTGATTAAAAGAGAAAATCAGTCAAAAATCTCTGTTCCTATAATAAAGGCCTATTTTTCACCTCATCTGAATTGGCTTCAACAGGAAGATCTCCCAAATCATAATACTTTTCTAAGTTGCTTGGGAACTCAGCAGGGGGGTGAAGAACATTGTAGAAAAAAATTGAAACAGAATCGTAATAGAACTGCGGCCTCGGGGAGTTGTGATCACCATCAAATTTGATCATGTTCCTATCACCCTGCAACGATATGGGTGAATACATATATGTAAATGTTGAAAACATCCTATAACTAAAAATAATGAGCAGACGCACTGTAATGGTCAATCAAGAGTGTCAATGTTAAATGAACATATTGGTCATTATCATAGAGAGAGAGAACAATACGAAAAGAATCTTTCTTTACCGCATATGACTGGTAAATGAGATCAGTGTGATGGGGCTTAATAAAAATGTCTTCTGAAGCATGTCCAAATAATGCTGGAATATAGGTTTTTGGTGCGTACTGTAGAATCAATTGGATACAATAGTTAAAAATTTGTTTCCTTCTACTGTTAAAACGAATAAAGTTCAGAAAAAATATATGGTAGAATCAAACCTGTACAACATTAAGATCCCTGATGTCAAATTTTGCCTTTCTCTGGATTACTCGCCGCATATATTGAACAGCCATTTTGACCTAATAAAACAAATGTCAATCTTTTTTTACCACAATAAAAATTACCGAGTTCAGACAATGTAACCTTATAAAAAATGCACGCCTAAACGCAGATCATGAAAAGCCTAGTGTTCCTAATGATGAGAATGCTCGCCACTAGCCACCTTTTCATGCAAAAACTAGCAATACTAGATCCTACCCTTGTGTTCAAAGGAGTGAAAAAAAAAGGAAAAATAATAGTTCCAAAATTCTTACCATGTTGCACCAACAACGGTTATTTACTTATTGATGTATGTGATGTGTAAATTTTTTTTTTTATTTACTAGAAAGAAGAAATTTCAAGGTGGAGTCTTTACAGCTATTTCTAGTGAGTATCCTATCAGATTAAATTTTAGTTCATTCTCTTCTAGCTTTCCATATGTCTCTAGGGACATTTACATACATACCACCCAATTCATACAAAACATGTCTAACACCTAATTTTTAATTTTCACATTCATACTTTCATATCACATAAAAAATACAACCATTTTAACACTTAAAAAGTAAAATACACCTTGCAATGCATAAGGAAGGTGGTATATGAATGTTAAAAATTCATGTTTAGGTGTAAGGTATGTAAATATATAGGAATTGAGGGGGTATGTATGTAAATCTTCCAAATTCCTGCTATTTGCCTTAGGGAGGTTTCTATATCGCTATCTCTGTATTCAGAACCTATAATAAAGCAGTGAAGAAGCAGAATTTGCGCAGATTTGATATTTTAGGGGGGATTAATTGGACAATTTTTAAGCTGGGATCCACCGTGACCAGCAGGTTTCTAACATCCGATTTTGAGAAATTAGATAAAATTTTGGCAATTTTAAAAGATATCCCAGACCTTGCATCCCTTGGAATTCGACTAAATTAATTTTATTAAATTCTACACGTCAAGCATGAATTTTTAACATATAAGAAAATATAAAATTATGAAGTTATAAGTTTAATTACCCTTAATTAATCTTAATATTCCTCCCTAATCCCGTATCTTTATTGTTCTCAGCCGACCTTCACGTTTTCACATGCATGCAATGGTCTAATGGGATAGAATGGTTAGGATTTAGTTCAAAGAAGTTAAATTTCACATTCCTTTTCATTTTCTCCTCCCTAATGGTTAGGATTTATGCAGAGAAGCTCGTTTGAGGTAAGTTTTGGCAAATGAAATATGTTCAGAGTTAAGACCCACACAGAGAATTTCATGAATTTCCAAGAGAATCACAAATCAATGTGGTTTCCCACACTGAGAATTTAATGAATTTCCAAGAGAATCACAAATCAATGTGGTTTACACAAGGAGGTGAGCTTAAGACGAGCATGAGAAACTCGTCATAGAGCTGCTTTGCCAATTCAGGCGAAATAATCTCATGCAAACTTAGATAAATAACTATTTGTATATTCTCATGTGATTATATGTTTAAAACTGTTGCATCTAAAATTTTTTGCATGCTATGAATGAATACATGCATAAATGCAAACTTGATTTGTCACTTATGAATATGATGAACAAGATGATAAAATCATCACTTGTAGGTATTTATTTACTTTGATTCATGCTTATGATATATGAAATGTCTATGATAAATGTTTAATACAGGGTATAATCTAAGAAATATCACAAGTGATGTTATAGGTGAATTATTACATGAATACTTGCAAGTACAGATGCAGGGAATGATGAGATTCTCAACTTCTGGTATTTAGAGATAAGACAAAGCTCTAGGAATCGTTGTTAAAAGGCGAAAATAGAATGTAGAAAATAGTTGGTACTAAGGGATATTGATAATTGTTATGTCAGAAGTGACCCAACCTTTATCAATAGTTAATGTAGATTTCAGATTGGGTGACAGTCAAATGACATGACAAGATATGAAAATAATTGAGAACCATATAATTACAAGTGACATTTCTATGATTAAACTGACGAGTCTTATGAATATGCCTGTTATTACACATGAATTGATAAAATACATGTTTTACACAACAATAATGATTCCCTACATTACATATCTTTTCGTTTACATGTTTTATATGATTATAGTATGTTGTGGACATGTACATGAGTTACATATAAGCATGCACGTTTTATTTTCACTAATAAAATCTTATTTTAACCTTAATTATTTTGTTGATTATGTTGTTGCTCACTATACATTGCTAAATTTCAAGGGGTAAAGAACACTAGAGCGAGTAGGCAGGTGTGAATTTTACAGTTTTTTGCATTATAGTTTTGAGAGCTTGTACAGACTTTTGGGTACGTATTTTATTATGTTGAGTTTAACAACTCGGTATAGATGCATACGTATTTTGAAGATATTATTTCCACGCTTCCAGGCATATGTAAATTTGAATGATTTAAGAAATGAAATGTATTAAGTATGTTTTTGGTGCTTTAGTTAAACAACTTTATCACCCATTCGGTCCTGATTCTGAAAATCGGGACGAGACCTGGGGAAAATGTAAACCAACTAAATCATCCAACTCCGTTGCACCATAGTTTACAATTAAGAGGGGTAAGTTGGGGTGTGACAAGGTTGTAGTAGCATCGACACGTGTTCAGCTGAAAACAGTGAATAAACTGCATGTGGGAGGGAAAAGGAGATGAGACTCCTGCTTGACAGCAGATTGGAGGCACTCGACGAATACAGTGGTCGAACGATGAAGGGGAACCACCACCTGTTCCTAGGCAAGATACAAACACACCATTTGAGAAAGGAATAGGGTACAGTACTCGAGAGGGCAAAAATCATAAAATTTCCCCCAAAATACATAAACTCAGAAACTGAAAACTCCAAAAAGTTATTACAACCTATATAAACGTCCCCTTATAAAGAAACATAATTAGAAACTAAAAAAATATAGAGGAGCTAGAAACGAAAGAAAAAAAAGAAACTTGTTGAAAAATAGAAAAAAATAAAATATAAATCATCCGGATCGATTGTCATGTGATCGTAAGAACCGTAGTATCGCATCACGCATCGGAGAGGCATCACTCTCATTTCTGGAGACATCCAGGTACTCGCAATACGACAAGAAATCGACAATATTAAATGCAGCAAAAAAATATTAGTCTCCATATAGATTAATTTTGTAGGCATTATCATTAATTATGTTAAAAATTTTGAATGGACCATTGACTCTAATCTCGAGCTTTCCAAATGAACCTACAAGGAATTGCTCCTCCTTTTGCCTGATCCATACCATGCCATCTTCTCTAAAAATCCTAGCTTTCCTAGGCTTGTTGGCCTGTTTCCAATACTTAGTGTCCAGTTTAGGAAGTTACTTGACCTGCTCATGTAGGGTATGAATATCCTTGACTCGAACCTCGGCATTAGCTCTAAGCCCCGTAGCTAGCAGTAGCAGAACTAACTCTAAAAGTATCAGTGGGCATGCTCGTACACAATCTCAAAGGGATTGTCAACTGACTAATAAAGCGAATGTAGGCAAACTTCACCTAAGGAAGAACCAAATCCCACTGCTAGATGTTTTTTTCCCCACTAAGCATCTAAGAAGGTTTCCCAAATGCAGTTTACAACCTTTGTCTGCCTATCTGTTTGATGGTGAGTTGTTGAATTAAACTAAATCTTCATACCTACCCCCATAAAGCATTGAAAAGTGGCTAAGAAATTTCACATATGTCTGAAGTAATTCTTTTGTGTATGCCATGAAAACGAACTACCTCCCTGAAATATAAGTCTGTAATGTGTGATGCATCCATCATCCTTTGGCAAGGAACAAAATGTGCCATCATGGAAAAATGTTCTACCATAACCATAACATAATATTTACACTGCTATGTGCAAGGTAAGCACACCATGAAGTTCGTGCTCACGTCCAACCAAGGTGCCTCTAGAATAGGAAGAGCAGTGTATAACCCAATATTTTTTTTCCTGGAGTCTTAGCAAATGACATACCCGACACTATCGAACTTATCTCTCCATAGCTCATGCCAATCAGAGCCAATAAAAGCTTTCTTTTACTAAGGTTAGAATCTTTTCTCTAACAAAAAGTCTTGTCAATCCCTCACTATAATACTCCTGCATAAAACTCTCACTAAGGGAACTCTAAAGAATGCATAATCCGTTATGGCAGAATAGATATCCATCAGATCAGTGATATTATACGAACTATCCTGATACTGGATTCAAATATCCTAAAAATCATCATATGTCGCATACAAAATCCTTTAAAGCCTTGAAACCAAAGACCATAGATTGCATCGTAGTGAATAATAAGTGATGTCGACTTAGTGCATTGACTACGCCCTGTTTTATGTTTTGAGTATAAAATAAAATGAAGAAAGAAATCTCATCTATGATGCATGTTTGCTCTTTTAACTTATTCTGACTATTCAATAATCTTAAGGTCTCATGGTCATTATAGAGAGTAAATTCATTTGCCAGCATATAATGACTTTAATGACTGAGAGCACTCCCAATAACTTAACTCTTTGTCGTAAGTAGAATATTTTCTCCTAGAATCGTTCAAATTTCACTGAAGAAGGCGGTAAGGTGTCCTCCTTGACTTAGCATAGCTCGAATTCCTACACTAGAGGCATCGCATGCTACCTAAAACATTTGAATAAAATCTGAAAGTGCTAGAACTATTGATTGAGTTAATTGTTTCTTCAAATCATCAAAACTAGCCTGAGCATCATCTGACCACGCAAATTTATCTAACTTGAGAAACATTATCAAAGATGTCGTAATCGAGCTGAAATTCTTGATAACTCCTGCAAAAAGAAATAAGACAATGAAACTAGCATGCTTGAGTAAATGGTTGAGGTCTAACCAAGCTACAATAACCTCGAACTTCGTAGGGTCCATCTAAATGTCGGTAACAGAAATGATATATAACAAAAACAAGCCTGAGTGTAAGAATATCACACTTCTTTGGATAACTATACATCTTCTCTATCCAAAAAACCTCATAAACTTGGTGCAAATTTTGTAAATGCTCATCCTCCAAACTGCTCTACCCCAGTA